TAAGTGTCTACCTTGAGGATTGGGAGATCTTGGAGTTCCACCTGTTCAAGAATGTCATTGCCAGATGTCTGGAAATTTTGTTGAACTATGGTATGGGGCAGAATGATGGTACCGATACAAGAATTGAGGGAATGATGTTTTTCAATAGTGACAGGAACAGTATCGATATGGGAAAGAAGAGAAAGATCATGAGCTTGGATAGCATTCTGTACAGTGATGATGCACGTACTGGTCTTAAGAGCATGAAAAGAAATATCTTAACCAACATTGCATAGGAGTGCCTTGCCAATACTATGGTCGGAAAAATAGGCAATAGAGGAAGTCGGTTGTAAAGTGAAGAATTTAGTCCACTGTGCATTCTGCAACTTAGCGTGGAAAGGGAGTGCAGGACATGTCGATCTTTTCTGAGAAGAATGAGAAGGTGGAGAAATATCATCAGCAGGTAATTGTCGTTGGCATTTAGGAGTGGGACCAGAGTTGGTCAGACGTGGAACTGGCCAGCAATTCAAAAATTGCCGCACCATAGAGGGAGAGGCCAGAAGCATAGTCAAAGAAGAGGGGAGGTCAGATAAATCGAAGGAGTCAGTCGAGACCTCAGTACCTGAAGTGGGTGAGTAAACAGCACCGGCAAGAGGTACAGAGGCATTAAGAGTGTCCAAAGAGTGGTCCAAAGACGAGGCGGGGTCAGAACGGGGTGCGATATCAAGAAGGTGCCCGGGGGTAGCAGGTTCATGAACTAGGGCTTCCATGGTTAGGTTACTTTTCTGTTTTTAAGAAAAAAGAAAAGAAAATAAAAATAAAAAAAAAATAAAAAAAAGGGGGGACTGGGGTGGGATAGTTCCTGGGAGGAATGAGAGGGCCAGAAATCTCCCTCCATGCCCAGAAAGACCTCAGCACCGCTAGTAGTGCAGATGCAGCATGGAACCCGTGCCATACCCTACCCATCATGCCAGTAAACCAGCAATCCGGGATAGCAACCTCACATCTGCCGAGCTACCTCGGTGGAAAAAAGAGAGGGCAGCCAGATATCTGCCACAAAGCATACCTCCTTTGGCCACCACCCCTGGAATCCAAATGGCAGCCTCCAGAGATACACCCATCGCCCAAAAGATACCCAAAGCCACTCCCCGGGAGACCGGAGAGGAATTGGGACATCCCCAGGCAATCCAGATTCCATGGCAAACTACACCACTGCCAAGAACCTCAATGGAATGGGATGGACCCCACTACCCTTTCCCCTACCCAGGAACTAGCGTGCCTGTGGGGGAAAAAAAAAAGGAAGGGTAACAGGGAGGGGTTGGGAGGAGGAGGAGGAAAAGAAAAAGGGAGGATGGGATAAGGGAGGGGGGATTGGGGGGTAATTAGGTTCGGTCTGAGGAAGGAGACCAACAGGTCTAATTCCTCAGACCAAGAGCCTCTTCACCACGCCAATGAGCCCCCCTTGAAGAGGTATCACTAAAGAAGCTTATCACAATTTTATCACTAAAGAAGCACGGATCAGTGTTCTTTGTTGGTTATCCTGGTGTCAGTGTGACTCCCAGTAGGGTGAAAAGTAATCTGACCTCACAGCATCCTACGCTGCTGCAATGCCCCTAGAACATAAAGGAAAAGCTGACCTAGTACTTTTTGCTTCCTTGCCAAACTTCCTCCATGAAGCAAAGCAGAATGCTTGATTCTTGCTGTCTTAAGCATAGACAACAATGTACACTATCTTTACCATGGTAATAGAATGGGAATAGGATTTTCCTTAGTTGTCCTGCTAAGGTAAGAGATGGACTGTCTCTTATTAAACTACACTTTGCAACACTGGACTCTCGCAAGGAGCGGCGGTCGCTTGACCACGTCACATACTCTTCTTGCATCTGGGATCAATTACTTGCTGTAGCACAGTGGTTCCCAAACTGGGGGTAAATTACCCCCTGTGGGTAATTTAACCATTTTTGGGGGGTAATGGAGGGGTGACAGAAAAAAGTTATGAATTCTGAAAATCAAGAAAACAATGCGGTACCCGGTATGAGGATTATTGTTAACTTTGTCTTAGTATATAAAGTTGTAAAGTAAACCTATTATAAGTAAGTAATAAAGTTAAACCAAATAACAATAAACATCAAAAACAAAATACAGTATAGAAAAGAAGAAATTATTAGCTTAAGTGTGTGAAACCCAAAAGTATTTACAAGTATGCTTCAGACAAAAGTCACTCAGTAGCCCAAGATCGACCTGTCCATTACGCGTCACTCACTTCCTGAGGCTGCCTCTATTTCACACTGTCAGGTTTATCTGTGCAGCATCAGCCGAGGTAGACATAAGCTGGTATGTATGTGTACTGCCCTGTGCAGTATATAGTTAGTATTTACCCACTGTTACTGTGAATTTGTAGCCATTATTAATTTTATATATTAATGTATGTGTGGTTCTTACGTTTTCAATGGTTTTGCTAGGATTAGCAGAGTATGCGAGGCTGTATACATTCACGTTTAGCCATATATATCAATAATAACAACATTTTGTGAAAGGGGTAACATGCTTTATGTGGCATGTTAAATTGGGTAACAAGCTGAAAAAGTTTGGGAACCACTGCTGTAGCAGTAAACAAGATATTTGCTCCTTCTGAGAGGGCTGGGCCCCTCAGGGCTGATACCCCCATCCTGGAGAAAATTTCTCCACAATATCTCCGTACGTACTAAAAAATTTTCTTACAGTACTTTGTAAAAAAAAAAAAAATTCTGTGCGCTGGGCGAGAGAACGTAGATCTACATTTGTACAGTTAAAGGGTTAAACTGGCTCACTTCATAGGACTCATAAAATGCGACCTGACCCATCACACTCCACGTCAAGACGGTTAGTTTCTGTTAATTGTACAAGTTGAATGCATTCAAATAGATACGTTAATTAGACATGGAAGGATAGATATATTTCAGGAGACCGGAAATATATCTACACCCAGACCACACACTACCCTTCTCTAGACAGAGGTAAGAAATCCCATGTTATCCAGGGATGGGATGGCAGGTTCTTAGACTGGATTCAACTGATGATGTCACTGGAAAATTAACTTAACCCCCTACCCCCTCCCCACCCACCCCCACATACTTATTCTAGATATTCCCGTTCATAAGCATCAGGAAACTTAAGTGGCAGATATGTTCCCACCATTTATGCCAAAATATGCTAAGTTCTTACATTCCCTGCATGCAGGAAGAGTGGAATCATTACCAGATAAGAGGCATCAATAGCAACCCCCCGTACCCCATGGAGAACTTTCATGACTACCCTAAACCCTCACTAGTGCTTGCAAAAACTATGCAAGATCAAACACTAAAAAAAAAAAAAAAAAACACTATTGTACTGAAGAAAAAGGGCTATCGAACTGTTTAAAAACTTAAGCGTGTCACAAAGAAAATGAACGTTAACAAATCCCAGACCCAATTTTCTGCACCAGTTAAGTAAAAAGGTAACAAATAGCCCTTCAAGATATGTAAAGAAACTTTCAAATATTTCTACACTTGTGTAAAATCTAAGTTTAAAACTACCTGTAAAATTAGATCATTAATTCGTCACAGAAAATTAAAAATTCTGCAAGATCAATATAAACCAATGTTCAGCAATCCGTTAAAAAGTTGGAGAATACAGACTTTTTTTTCATTCCCTCTCATCACAACAGATTAGCTATGGAATGAAGAACTCAAATGGGTAACTGTATTCACATGTGCTCCATTACTGTTCTACACAGCGGTAAGAGAACTCATTCATGTACCTGGATGATACCATTCTGGCAAGTACGGAGGAATCCCTGGTAGAGGAGCTTCGACTGGTGCAGTCACAGGGAAGTTTTGGGACTTGGCCTCAACCCTTCCAAGTGTGAGTCTCAGTAAACCAGTTTATTTCATTGTGTGAACAATTCTACCTGAAGTCTCAACTATCACACCTTCCATGAGAATCATACTGGGAGCACGCTGGGTCGTCAGGCTAGAGACAGTCCTCAATGACAAACTGAACGACCTGAACGACTCTACCCATGCGAATCAAGGGACCTCAAATTTAGAATTCCCTTCAAGAAAATGCAAAATAAATCCCAATCCGCCACTTGCTTAAAAAAAATCTAGAATAAGTTAAAAGAAAATTTATCAAAGTCATTCCTGTTTATCTAACTCGTGGTAACAATTATCACTATCAACAATTTAGCCTATGTCATAAGTCTTTACAAAAATATATAAAAGTGAAAATAAGCCAATTGTAAGAGTTAATGCTGGAGATGTAAGTAAATTTTGGAATTCATGTAACCAACTTAAATCTTGTTTGTAGTTTTAAGTCAGTCTAAAAGGTTGCTCGAAATGCTCTGCACAAGTAGAATATTTTTAAAATTTAAAATATTCTGTCATCATCTATTCCCGAATCAATTAAATTGTGAATGTTGAATAATAATATATACCACCTACTACTATATCCAGACAACCATTAAGACAACCCACATTAGAAACAAGAGCAAGGTTCTGCAAAACCACAGACTGGTAGCACCAAAGATACGACCATCATGTGGCTAGTAATGAGCGAGGGTGTTCCGGAAACAATACCAGCTCTTAGCCACTCCTGCAGCCTCACGAGACTTCAATAAGAATTTCTTTGCCAGGCAGCCACCCAATAAACCACCAGATGACTCACCACGAGGTTCATCTGATCCAGTGCCCTTCGGGAGTTACTGTAAATGCCAGTGGTGGGAGAACAGAAGTTAGTAACTAATTCCAGATACCCGACAATTTAACGAACTGAAAAAATTCCTGCTACACTAGTCAAACGAGGTGTGCCGGGTTATTCCATTAATTCGCTCAGACTGCCACCTCGCTATTATTGTTAACTTTTAAATGAAAACAATTAGAGAGGTGCCTAAGGTTGTATACACTCATTGCTACAATTAAGCAAGATATTTAAATATTTTTTTGCTATGAAGTTAAGCTAATTACAACTTATCAACGCTCTTCAATTTAATAAATTAATCCCCGTTAGTCGTCCGCTTCCCATTTTGACCCAATAACACGTTTAATTACTTGATAAAGCCTCTCGTCACTCCAGTGAGGGTTCATCTTGCGTAAAGACTTGCTCAGGCGGTTGTGTTCCCGATGAAACACAAAGTGCAACACTGTCAATCCTGGGTTCTCATTTGCTCTGCAAACAGAGAAAGAAAAAAGATGTTAAGAGTTCTCGCCAATTATAAAAAAAAAAAATCTACAGCATTCATAGCACTAATAGCCTTGTTAGAAACTTTTCTAACAAGGCTATTAGTGCTATGAATGCATTTTTTGCACTGTTCACAAATACGTGGTATAACCTTTATATATTAGTTCACCTGTCAAAAATATCTAGTCTTATAGCGAAGTCCCAGGATTAAGTAATCAAATTGTTTAGATTCTGCGTTATATTTATGGACGATGACAGGTCCTAAATATGACTAACCTGAGTAATTATCTGCTAAAACTGTTCAAACTGGAATAGCGTATATTGCTGTCAAGAGACCAGACAGCAGAAAATCTTCATGTGGTGTCGCAGGTGACGAAGCCTCGCCAGCAGAGGGTACAGTGGTATGAGAAAAGTCTGGAGAATGTTCCAATAACGAAGCCAGGTCAGAACAGGATGCGGTAACAAAATGGAGCCTGGGAGGAGGAGGAGGGGGGGGGTTACGGAACGAAGACTATGATAGTGGTACTAATTATTACAAGGAAAAAAGAAAGGAAAGAAAAAAAAAGGAAGAGGGGCAGCTGAGGGACAGTTACTAGAAGACATGAAAGGGCCCTAAGTTCCCTTTTTAACCGAGAGGACCTCGATACCCCCAGCAGTGCATATGCAACGTGTAACCCCTGCCATACCCTATCCTTCACGCCAGTAAACTAGCGCTCCGGGGCAATAAGCTAATCTGTTAAAGAGTGAATCTTGGATAAAGGAGACACTTTCGAGGAGGAGGAGGTCGAGCAGATTCAGTGTTAGAGCGTCGTATTTATCGGAAGTGAATTCTGATAGGACATTAAAATTTGGCGACCTGGCAGTCTTCACAAAGGTGCTGGCTATTTCTTCATATGGTGTCAATGTTAAAGTTACAAGTGCCCAGTTCAGAATTTTGTGTTAGATGGGAAGTAACCCAATTATGGACTGACACAAAAACCTGTTTTCTAGCTTGTACCTGAAAGGTAAGTCATTGAGGACACTAGTTGAGTGACCTGACAGTCCTAGCAGAGGTGGCGGTCCTAGCAGAGGTGGCGGTCCTAGCAGAGGTGGCACAAATCTCGTCATGTGGCGCCCCAGAGCAAGTCTGTTAGATTGGTAATCATGCCAGAGTATTTTATCCCTAACCTTACATTGGTAGAATGATAGCCAGCCAGAAGGAAAATGGTTTGATAGAAAAATAATTGGCTGTGCACTAATTCAGACCAATGTTGCCAACAGTTTTATAAAGGAAATACTGAAAAAAAAATCTTATTGGTAAATTGGAACCTCATGATTAACAGATTGTATGGTATAGGCAAGCACGGTTGCCATGGGTATGAAAGCGGGAAGAACCTTAATTTTGCTATGAAAATGCTAATCAAGTCTATCTGGAAAAACATCTATATACCTTACACCATCTGGAGATTTAGAACAGTGTGTGTAGCAATTTTGATTACCTAACTGAACTTGTTCAGTACTTCTATTAGGTGGCAATCGAGGTTCCGACCCTGGAAGGTAGTAGTAACTAATATTTTGACCGTGAACGTCACTCAGCACTCTTAGCAACAGAAGAAATTTGCTTTCTACTACCCCCCCTCCCCCTTCATACACACCCCTCAACAAATAAAAAAAATGATCAAAAAGTAATTTCTACACTAGCAAGTTTAAGTCACCAGCAACAATTTAAAATCCATAAATATATTTATGTCAAAAAGATTCCCCAAAGGCACTTTTAGGAAACCAAGAGGAAAGGCCTAAACCGAGAGCAAACTTAAAATATGATGCACAGTCATTGGCACGTCAAAAGCCGCACAGTCAGTGGCACGTCAAAAGCCGCACAGTCAGTGGCACCTCACAAGCCACACAGAAGAGACCAGATCTTGCAAACAGGTGGCTATGGGTAAGTTTGCCAAATCTATGTACATACAAGGGGTACGTACTTTCACGGGCAGTCAGCTTCACACTAACTTGCCATATTCTCTGTATCGTGGCTCGCCCCAATTTTCCCTCACTCGTTGACACTGAGCATTTTTGATGACCTGCGAGTTCTCCATGCTCACTGCACATTAGTTCCCTACTTTTACCAGCAGCTGCAGTCGTGGTATAGAACCCGTGAAGACTGCAGTAGACACGAAACACTTTGTGAACAATATAAATAGGTAATACTTAACTGTAAGACAGGCTAGAACTAACCTGTCATCGCCAGAGAAGAAGCACATGCCATTTTCAGATCGGCAGTCAGGAAACTGATTTGCTGGCCTGAGAGTCAGCCTACTTGAATAACTACTCTTAAGCATACCACCAGAATGCAGACGAAGTTCGTCGCCCCTGCACTTGTTGCTGCCGTAGATCTGCAAGTGAATGTTGTTACAGTCTTTAGGTAAACTTATACAATGTCACCTCCACAGATCTGTGGGGGTCATTTTTGGGAAGTGGGCAATGTACACCTCAGCAAAGTCAGTCAGTATACATAAAACTAAAAGCAATTAGTTATGCTGGAAGGCTACAACCCCTACACTACCCTACAAAATACAAAGGCACAATACAGTGACCGGAATAATACACAAATAATCCGAAATGGGGGTGGTGCCAGGACAAGGGCCAACAGTCTGGCTCTGGGTAGATGCCACAGACCTAGTCTGCAAGTTTCATCAGTAGTCTTCCCTACATGTCCAGGGGAGTTATGGAGTGACCTTTTTACATGAAAAACAGAGCAAAAGTGAAAAATAAAAAGGAAAGACCACTGGGTGGGTATTTAATAAGGATCATTGCCCCACCAATAGTCTATTCACTCAGCACAAGCAGCGCAAATGGTGTTTCAGGAACCATCCTTTATATCCAAGGCGCATATCTGACATCTCTCACCACTAACAAGCAGAGCAAGGCTTTGCGAACCCCAGTTCCTTCCTATTTAGACAGTGACGGAGGCACCAACAGCATTCAGCTAAGAACGGTCGAGGCGGAAATGAATGCAGAGTTTCACACCATCAATCAACCGTTTGAACTAAAAGTAACCTCAGGTAGTACTGCGGCAACCAGACGGCCAACAGACTAAATCCAGTGAGCCTCCAGGTAGTCCACTTGAAGAGCCACCTGACAACCCAATCCCCTTAAGGTGATGTAGATCACTTAGCATTGATCGGCAGGAGCACAAGTACAGAAGGTGGTAACCCCTCCAATACAACTAAGGCAAAATTAAACAGAGAAAATCCCTACTATTTAAGACAGGCTGGAGGAAGGAGCAAGTTGACCTCTAAGAATAAGTTAGGTAATATTTGTCAGGAAACAGGACAAGTCTTTCCTGACGCGGGTCTAAGTCATATGATGACACGCCGCTGGAGCTTTAAGTAATCTGACCGAGGCTTTTCGCTGGCTCATCGGTCCACCTCGTGGAAAAATTATGGTTATGATTATAACCGTTACATCTTCCTGACCAAGTAATGCAAATACCCCTCAAACCCACCAATGAAGGAGACATCTGCATGGCACCGCCTGTGGTGCAACAGCGTGATCCCAGTCTGGAGTCTGGAAAGAACGTCACAAACCCATCACGTTGTATCATAGGCACCGAGTTCTTAAGTTTGACTGCTGAAGCCAGCACCTAAGAGCCCCGTGTAATTTGATTGTTACATTTTATGTCTATGGCATACTAACATACCATATAATATCTAGCATGTGAATGCTAGCAGTATCATACTAGTAGTCGTGCTGGTCAAGTTATGTCGCTTATGAGATATGGCGAACTCAGATTTCACGTACAGTATATATTTCCTTTTACAATTAACTGCTATTACGGAATCTTTTATTTTGCCTCCGAAGCGGCTAATTTATTGTGAAGCAGCTATCCATCCTGAAAATGAAATCGCAAAAGCAAATGGATTTGTAGAAGCCTAGGAACTAGGCCCCCAAAATGGGGGCTAACAGGAACACAGATTTATGTCTTAAATCTGTCTTCTCTGATGCAAGCAAACTAAGAATATTTAAATAATATGTCTGGAATCTTATTATTAACAAGATTTCTTGACATATAGCACAGATTAACAAAAGGGAAAAATATATATCAATGACTAGTACTCTTGACAAAGAACATTACATACTTGGGACAAGTCTAGGTAGGCTGTGTTCATGTTGACTTGTTCTAACACACTCTTGCCCATCTTGTTAACCTGCACCTCTGCAACGCTTCTGTAAAAAGTATCTAGGAAATAGTTGTGGTTTTGATACAGCAATGTATCAACTTCTGCAATAATTTGAGCAGTTAGGAATGTATTAATTCATGCTTGAAATTTCAGAAAAAAAAAAATCCTGGCAATTTTATTACATTCATGGGGGAGAGTTAAAACCGTAGGGGTTGCACAGCTGCTGGGGGAAATGAAAGGCATTCAGACTATTCCCAGGCTGGGATCAAGAGCCCCTCACCAGCATCAACGAACCTTCCTAAGAGGGATGTGCCCTAGCACCATCAGGCCTATACTGAAATTTCGTTCAAGCATTTTCACTCACAATAAGTGTAGAAGTATAGAAGTCTGATCATCAATGAGCCATTTCTGTTAAATAGACCTTTGCTCTATTACAAAAATTTAAGATTTACTTCAAATTAAAATCACTCAAAATATGAAAAATCAGTATTCATAAATACTGTCAAACTATTTAACTTCGTTAATTGCTGTTTATTAAACTTGTTTATTCACCTGTTATTTACTTCATGAATTTCGATCATTACCTTGAGAGCTGAGCCAGTTAAGAGCTGCCAAGAGCACAGCGAGTTTATTATGGCTACATTTTAGAAGTGAAGTTCAAAGAATAAAATAAGGAACTTATCTGGCTGGCCAAGAAATAACTTGTCTAATGAACACGAGAACTTCAGAATTATTGATTTATTTCGAGTTTTACAAGCAGTATTTTTTTTTATCGACTAATTTGTACACTTAAAAAAAATTAATTTGGCAGTTCAATTGTGAGTAGAAGATTTATTTGTGCAGCTGAACATTTAGAGATCACAGCAGTGTAAAATGAACTCCATAATAAGGCCGCCAAGCCAGTACACTCAACGAACATTAAATTTAAGACATTAAAGGAATTATGTATTGAAATTTATTTTTTTCAAAATTAAGTATTCTTGCTAATATGCATAGGCAATGCGCATTTGAGATTAATAATGACACGTTCCTTAGAGGAAAAACATTGAAATGGTCTCCTCGTCTTCAACTTCATCTGACATTTCACAGAATCAGCATTTCATTCACCATTGCCTTGGCAAGCGGTAACAAAAATAAATATTTAATCTGAAAAAATATTCAGATTTTCTAATTTTCATGTGTTTTTGTTTACATGCTCTTTTTTTGTCTGGATGGTCAGTCAATCCCTCGAGCTTAAATGTGGGGGGCTGGGCCTCGCTGGTCAGTCCCTCGAGCTTAAATGTGTGGGGGCTGGGCCTCGCTGGTCAGTCCCTCGAGCTTAAATGTGTGGGGGCTGGGCCTCGCTAGACGTCCAATAGATCCTGCTTTACAAAATACAATATCCCACATGATTCAAGATGAACACACCAAAAAAATGCACAATAAAAATCCAATTAACAGGCAATCAGAATTCCAAAATACACACACACGTTATGGTAGAGTCCGCCAGAGTCACTGGCGTGGTCACAAAGTTAACTCCACATATTGTATATTATTATTATTAATATAATCAAAAAGAAACGCTAAGCAACAAGGGCTATGCAGCGCTGCAGGGTAGGAAAGGAAGAGAGGGTATTGGGCGGCAGAAGGGGCGAGGGGCGATCAGTAGGTTACAGAAAACAGCGGGGGCAGGGGACAGTGCGGGGGTAGAGGGTAGCAAGAGATCGAAGTAGAAAGGGCTGAAGGTATCAGAGTTTGTGAAGTCAGTCAGTTGTTGTCAAAAAGTCAGAGTCCAGATGAAAGGTGGGTCCATCAGCAGGAAGGGAAGGTAAAGAGAGCAGCGGAGCGAAGACGACGTTGGAGGTAAATTCTGCGTGCTCGTTGATAAAGTGGGCAGTCTAACAGAATGTGGCTGACCGATAAGGGAACCTGACAATTCTCACAGAGGAGCAGGGCGCCTGTACATGAGATATCCACGAGTAAGACGAGAATGGCCAATGTGGAGACGGGAGAGAGTAGTCTCCCAACCTCGGCACATGTGACAAGAAGACGGCCAGTAACCTATACTTGGTTTAATAGATTGAAGTTTGTTACCGAGTAGAGCAGACCAACGTTGTTGCCAACGGGTGTGAAGGTGGGTAGCTATTGCAGCAAAATAGGCCGTAAATGGAATACCTCTATGAAACTCGTAGGTCATGTACTGCTGACCACGCAGCAGTGTTGCCTGTTCATTGCTCTGTACTTCAACATGACGAGGGACCCAACAAAAAACAATATCGTTATGCTTGGTAGAGATGCAGCGTAGCCAAGTTGGATATGGAGGACTAAGAGGGTGAGGTGTATAAAATTTCTGTATAGCCTGTAAAGCACTAAGGGAGTCTGAGACAACCACAAATGATGACACAGGCATAGATGCAATTCGGATAAGTGCTGCAAGAATGGCATACAATTCAGCAGTAAAGACACTAGCCGAAGATAGTAAATGCCCTCGCATGACGCTCTCCGGAAACACTGCTGCAAATCCTACGCCGTCAGAAGACTTAGAGCCATCTGTGTACACTGCAATGGCATGAGAATGAGTGTGGAAGTGGTCAAGAAAAAGAGTGAGAAGCTATCATAGACAGTTGGGCTTTCGAGCAAGGGAGCGAGAAAGAACAGACTCGAAAAGCTGGAACTTCCCAGGGGGGAAGGGAAAAGTGACATGCTACATGAACATAGAAAGGTGGAAATTAAAGAGAAGACAAGAGCGGATGTAGAAGAGAGAAGGGACGGAGCAAACGGGCGGTGAACAAATAAAGAATGTCTACTAATATCAGTGACCACTCTATAAATGGAAGGATTGCGGAGATCATGAGAGTGTACATAGTAGCAAAGGCAATGGGCATCACGGAGATCGGATAAGGATGGAACGTTCGCTTCTGCAAAGAGACTCTCAACAGGGGAAGAGCGAAAAGCACCAAGGCATAAACGTAATCCTTGGTGATGAATAGGGTTGAGGCTAGATAGAGTAGCAGGAGAGGCAGCTGAATAGATCTGGTCACCATAGTCAAGTTTCGATAAAATGAGGGAGGAATGTAGGCAAAAAAGAGTTTGATGATCAGCTCCCCATGAAAGATGAGCAAGGGTTTTAAGAAGGTTCAGCCGGCTGTGACAAGTTGCCTTCAGAGAGGTAATGTTTGGTTTCCAGGATAGCCTTTGGTCAAAGAGGAGGCCTAGAAACCTGACCGTATCACGTTCTGGGATACGGGTGCCATAGAGGTACAAAGGAGGATCGGAGATGACTGTCTAGTGAAAGTAATTTGGCGAGTTTTGGTACTGGAAAATTTAAACCCATGTGTGGTGGCCCAATTGGAAACACGGTCGACCGCATGCTGGAGAGAAAGTAATGAGGTGACAGTCAGCACCTGCACAGGCAATAGCGAAATCATCAACAGTGATATGACCAAATATTAGATGGAAGACTAGAGGCCAAATCATTTATAGCAAGGAGAAACAGTGTTGTGCTCAGAACACATCCCTGGGGGACACCTTCAGCTTGGATAAAATCCGGGGAGAGCACATTATTAACCCGAACATGGAAATGTCTGTCAGTTGAAAAGTTCTTAAGGTAGATTGCCTCGAAGGCCTAAAGAGTGGGCTTGGGCCAAAATATTATACCTCCAAGTTGTGTCATATGCCTTCTCAAGGTAAAAAAAAATATGGCAATAACCGAGTGGTTATTCGCAAAGGCATTACGAGCATACGTATCCAAGCGTAGTAAGAGGTCTATGGTAGAACGGCCCTTACGAAGGCCATATTGACGAGTGGATAGACTGCTGTGTGTGTCTGTAAATACCACACTAAACGTCTATTTACCAGGCGTTCCATCACTTTGCAAACTGCACTGGTAAGAGCAATGGGACGATAGTGGGAGAATAGCAAATTTCCACAGCTGTGGAAGAACTTTTGACCAAATAAGATTGAAAAGGCGTAATAGGACTGCAAGGGCCGACTGATGTAAATGTTGTAGCATACGAATATGAATGTCGTCGGTCCCAGCTGCCGATGATCGGCAAGCTGAGAGTGTTGCCTCCCGTTCCTGAAGTGTAAAAGGCACATTATACTGTTCTTCTCTGAGAGAAGAAAAGTCCAAGGGTGCTAACACTTTGGCAGACTTTGAGGAAAGAAATGAGGGGCACAGATGGAGCCCCAGAGAAATACGGACCAGATGATTGCCAATTTCATTGGCAACATCTAGTGGGTTTGCTATATCAACACCAGCAACCCGCAGAACAAGAGCCGGGTCAGAAGAATATTTACCACTCAGTTTTCGCACTTTTTTCCCAGACTGCACTCAGAGAGAAAGCAGAGGTGATGGTGGAGACAATCTAGCCAGTAAGTGCATTTAGTGTCACTGATGACACGGCGAGCGATCGCTCGCTTCTGCTTAAAATCAACAACTCTCCATGGTTATATTGTACCGGTACCTGCCCCACGCAGCGCGTTTCAAACGTACTGCACGAGCACAAGCAGGAGACCACCAAGGCACGCATTTCTGAGAATGCCTGCCCGAAGTTTGGGGTATAGAATTAGAAGTTGTGGTTAAAACGGAGGACGAGAAGAGGTGTAACAGCTCATCAATGGAGGACAGTTAGTTGTGAGAAAAGGTTCCAATTTGCCTGATCAAATTGCCAGCGTGGATTACAAAAGGGTAGTGAATATGAAGGGGAAGTAAGAATGATTGGGAAATGATCACTGTCATGCAAATCCGGGAGAACAAACCAGGTAAAGTCTAATGCGGCGGAGGAAGAGCAGACAGAGATCGATGCAAGAGAGAGTACGAGTCCGAGGATCAAAATGGTTGCGAGTACCTGTATTTAAAACATGGAGGGGGTGGGTAGCAAGAAAAGCCTCTAACTGAATGCCACGGGAATCACAGTGAGACCCCCCCAGAGGAAATGATGGACATTGAAATCGCCAAGTAACATAAGTGGTGGCGGTAATGACGAAATATGAAAGGTAATATCAGGGATAGATAATGCCCGAGAACGAGAGAGATACAAAGAACAGTGTATACCACCTATGCAATTGGATATGGGCTGCTGTGTAATGTAGCTAAGTATGAACAAATAGCTGATGGTACGGAATATCAGTGCGTAGAAGGGCACTTTCATTAAAGGTCCCATCAGGAAAAGGATCTGAAGAATACAATAAATTATAGCCTGAGATGGGATAGATAATGGCAGAGTGTAATTTTGGTTCCTGTAAGCAAACACCAACAGGGGAAAACTGGGAGAGCAACATCTGAAGCTCACCCCGATTACCCCTGAGGCCGTGAATATTCCACTAAATAGGCCATGATTGGCAACGATAAAGATACCTGAAATCCACAGGCAAGGGTACCTATGGACTAGAAGGGTTAGAAAAGTCAACATGCTGTGGCAAAGGAAAACATTCAAGTAGCGAAGGAATGATGCGTTGTGAAGAAAGGAGTTGCGCAGATGGAGAAGAGGAAAGAGAAGGAACAGAGGGTGGATCAGTGTCCATTGATGGTTTGGTCTCTGCAATATATTCAGAGATTGCTTCAAGTGTTTCGGAGTTCAGAGACATCGTATGGGAGACAATTCTGCAGACGAAAAGGGGAGGAGTTTGAGTAAAGTTCGGAGCTGTAATGAACTATACCTAGGTAGGAGGGGGGGCCGAAAGGGTGGAGGAAACTGGAGAAGTGTGGGAGGGGACAGAAGAGGCAGAAACACGGGAGGTAGCAGAAGAGGAAGAAACTTGGGAGGGAACAGGGGAGGAAGGCACAGTACGAGGAGGAGGATGAACCTCCACACTTGTAACAGAGCCAGTGAAAGGGGAAGACCTAGGTTCAGAGACCGGGAATGTAAAATGTGGAGGTGGATGAAGGGAAGGAGGGATTAAAGGAGATTTGTTGGACCTCTGAGAAGTAGAGGGACGATTGGGAGGTGGTGTCGTATGAGGTCTTGTCGATACCGGGGTTTGTGAGGGAGAACACGAAGAAGTGAGGACAGACTGAGGTGTTGAAGCAGGGACGTCTGAGCCCAGGACAGCAAAAGAATTATATACAGGAGTGACTATGGGACTGGCAACCGCAGAGGAGGCTGCAGAAGATGGGACCCCAGAAGTGGGGGGACGTTTTGAAACACGAGAATAAGAAACACCGGGTAGTCTCCTTGGAGGTGGAGATGAGAAACTGCCATAGCATAAGGGAGACCTTCTGCCTCTGAGGCAACGAATTTCCCGCTCATTTAAGTAGGCCTGGCAACGGTGAGAGTAAGAAGGGTGAGCCTCATGACAATTAAGGCAAGAGGGAGGTCGACTGCAAGATGTATTAGAATGGTCATTGGCACCACAGACTGGGCATTCAGCTATAGATCTGCAATATTTTGCAGGGTGGCCAAATCGCCAGCAATTCCTAAACTGTTGTGGTGTAGGGATCACCTTCTGAACTTGTAACCGATATCCTGCTACATAAACAGAGGATGGGAGTTCATGGCTGTCAAAAGATAAACGAGCCACATTGCAAGGGTATTGTCTTCGCCTGCCGGCCGGAAGAACGTAAGTGTCTACCTTGAGAATTGGGAGATCTTGGAGTTCCAGCTGTTCGAGAATGTCACTGCCACATGTCTGGAAATTCTGTTGGACTATGGTATGGGGCAGAATAACAGTACCACTACAAGAATTGAGGGAATGATGTTTTTCGATAGTGATAGGAATAGTATCGATATGTGAAAAAAGAGAAAGATCATGAGCTTGGGTAGAATTCTGGACTGTGATGATGCACGTACCACTCTTAAGAGCATGAAAGGAAGTATCTCTACCAACGTGATGTAGGAGCGCTTTGCCAATACTATGGTCAGAAAGATTGGCAGTAGAAGTCGGTCATAAAGTAAAGAATTTAGTCCATTTTGTGGTCCGAAATCGAGTGTGAAGAGGGAGTGCATGACGTGTCTGTCTTTTCCGAGTAGAATGGGAAGGTAACAAAGTAACATCTGGAGATTTTTGTTGGCGTTTAGAAGTGGGATCCGAGTCGGTCCGACGTGAGACGGGCTGGCGATTCGAAAATAGTCGCATCATAGAGAGAGGCAGGAAGCATAGTCAAAGGAGAGTGGAGGTCAGACAAATCGAAGGAGTCAGTGGAAGCCCCGGTACCTGAAGCGGATGAGGAAACAGCACCAGGAAAAGGTACAGGGGCCTTGGGAGTGTCCAGAGAGTGGCCAAAAGACGAGGAGAGGTCAGAACAGGGTGCGGTAACAATAAGGGGCCCGGGGGTAGCTGGGTCATGGATCTGGGACTCCATGGTTAGGTTACTTCTTTTTTTCTTAAAAACAAAAAAAAGAAATAAAAAAAAAGAATAAAAAAAAGGGGGGACCAGGGAGGGATAGTTCCTAGGAGGAATGAAAGGGCCAGAAATCTCCCTCCGCGCCCAAGAGGACCTCAGCACCGCAAGTAGCGTAGATGCAGCATGGAACCCGTGCCATACCCTACCCTTCATGCCAGTAAACCAGCAATCCAGGATAGCAACCTCACATCTGCCGAGCTACCTCGGTGGACAAAAGAGGGCGGCCGAATATCCACCTCAAAGCATACCTCCTTCAGCCACCACCCCCGGAATCCGATAGGTGGCTTCCAGAGATACACCCGTCGCCCAGAAAACACCCAAAGCCACTCTCCAGGATACCGGGATACCGGAGAGGGATCGGGACATTCCCAGGCGATTCAGATCCCACGGCAAACTACGCCACAGCCACTGCCAAGAACCTCAATGGTATGGGATGGGCCCCAGTACCCTTCCCCCTACCTATGAACTAGTGTGCCTGTGAGAAAAATACCAAAGGCCAAAAAGAGGAAGAGCAAAAGGGAGGGGTGGGGAGGAGGAAAGGAAAAAGGGGAGGATGGGATAGGGAAGGGGATATTGGGGGGTAATTAGGTTCGGTCTGAGGAAGGAGACCGACAAGTCTAATTCCTCAGACCCAGAGCCTCTTCACCACGCGAAGGAGCCCCCCCCTTGAAGAGGATATATTGTATAATATACCTAGTTGGAGTAATTTTATTGTAGCCAGTTGGCCCAGTGGCTTATGCAATGACCTGGACTTTCAAGACTCACTCGCCATGGGTTCAAACCCTCACTCATTCCCTGGTTTGTTTACAGTCGTGTTTTAACGATTTTGAGTAAATATGCTTGCAGCATCCCTGCCTTGTTAGTTTTAATAAACCAGAACGTATATACAAGTTAATGTGTAACAACAGTTGTGTTTCTATTATACAGCGCATTGTGTGTTGGGGGGGGAGGGGATGGAAGGTATTCAGGCTTAATTCAGGAAACTAGAGCACAGATCTAATTCCCCAGATCAAGAACCTTCACCAGCGTCAAGGAACCTTCCTTGAGGGAAGTTGTGTTTCTAGACAAGTAACATGCTAACTTATAATAAAGCCATAAGACAAGGCAAATGTATCTATTCAACAAGTTTAAAGAATCACTCGCCATATGGATAAAATGTATATTAAAACAAATTTGTATATGCTGAAATTACAGCTGATTAGGTAAGCTTTAAATAGGTTTTGTAAGTGTTGTCTTTAAAAATAAATTAAAGAAAAGTCAAGAAAAATATAAACTACTAGTGTGGATATAAAAACAATCACCAGGGAAAAAAACTGTAAAAGTTACCCAAATTTACTACACAAAAAAAAAAAAAAAAAATCCGAAGTGATTGGCAGTGTTGTACAGTTAACTGCAAGTTGACAAACTCTACTATATGGCCCAGACGAGTGTCAGAGCCACAGTCTACACAATAGTCTCAAAAGTGACGTCCTGTCTTTAGACCCACAAGCAGACACACTAATACCCAAGGAAGTGTGTCAACAGTCGAGTGAGCTCGTCAGAGTAGCCTTCCGCTTGACATCTACTTGTTCATTTTCGTGACGTCAGTATAGTTCACACCAACAACTACATCGTTTGTGTCGCGAGCCCAGACGGACGACTTGCGTACCTTGTGAAGGGAAGGCAGCGATGCACCACCTGTGTACCTTGTGAAGGGAAGGCAGCGATGTACCACCTGCGTACCTTGTGAAGGGAAGGCAGCGTCTCTTGCCAGTGTCGTTAAAGCGAGAAGGTAAATAAGGGTCAGTGTGAGGCAAGGGAACAGGAGCGCATCGCGGGTCAGTCCACGACGTACACCTCAAACAATTCATTGTCTTTCCGTTGTCATCTGGAATAAGAAAGTAACGAGTGGTAACACAAGCGCTGACCTGGATTATTCACTGCCTGACAAGATTATGCAACACTCAGGACAAAACTCGATGATAAAATTGTTAACAATTTAAACCAAGTACACAAAAATTATAAACTAGAATTGAATGCATCAGTTAAGAAACTTAAGTCTACTACAATACTTAAAAGAATTCTTAAAGGTACCGAAGAAAAATTTTTTAAAATTTAGAATGTGCTTAAACTAGAAATTACTCTGAACTCTAGGCAATAAGAAACATACAAGAACACCGAACGTAAAAATTAGGTATTGAACAAAAACTACGTTCAAAACTCGCCAAAAGAACCACACCAGTGGACTGCCTGATAACGACCAAAGGTCGTTATGCTGCAGCCCAGAAAACCCATGACATGAACGAGAAGAAAACCCATGACATGAACGAGGAGAAGAAAACCCATGACATGAACGAGGAGAAGAAAACCCATAACATGAACGAGAAGAAAACCCAAGACATAAACGAGAAGAAAATCCATGACATGAACGAGAAGAAAATCCATGACATGAACGAGAAGAAAATCCATGACATGAACGAGGAGAAGAAAATCCATGACATGAACGAGAAGAAAATCCATGACATGAACGAGAAGAAAACCCATGACATGAACGAGGAGAAGAAAACCCATGACATGAACAAGGAGAAGAAAACCCATGACATGAACGAGAAGAAAACCCATGACATGAACGAGAAGGAAACCCATGACATGAACGAGAAGAAAACCCATGACATGAACGAGAAGAGGCAGTGGGTAAACAGTCGAGATGTGCTCTACAGTCAGCTGTATCCCAGAAGTTGAAGGAGGTAGGATCGCCATCAAGAAAGTTATGGGAGAGGAATGTGTGTACGATACTTTTATGATTCCTTTTACTAGAGAAAATCTTCCCTTGTGGCTTAGCGCTTCTTTTTGATTATAATAATAATAGAGAAAATCTTACATGATTATTTTTTATTTACTTCTAGGTCTCTGTTACCTATTATTATTATTATTATTATTATAATCAAAAAGAAGAGCTAAGCCACAAGGGCTATACTGCGCTGCAGGGTAGGGAAGGAAGCGAGGGCAATAGGCGGCAGAAGGGGGGAGGGATGATCAGTAGGTTACAGAAAACAGCGGGGCAGGGGATAGTGCGGGGGTAGAGGGTAGCAAGAGATTGAGGTAGAAAGGGCTGAAGGTATCAGAGTTTGTGAAGTCAGTCAGTTGCCAAAAAGTCAATGAGAGTGTCTGGATGAAAGGTGGTTCCATCAGCGAGAAGGGAAGGTAAAGAGAGCAGCGGAGCGAAGACGACGACTGAGGTAAATTCTGCGTGCTCATTGATAAAGTGGGCAGTCCAACAGAATGTGGCTGACTGATAATGGAGACTGGCAATTCTCACAGAGAGGAACAGGTCGCCTCTCCATGAGATCCATGAGTAAGACGAGTATGGCCAATGTGAAGACGGGAGCGAGTAGTCTCCCAACCTCGACACTGGTGACAAGAAGATGGCCAGTAACCTATACTCGGTTTAATAGATTGAAGTTTGTTACCGAGCATAGTAGACCAATGTTGTTGCCAACGGCTGTGAAGGTGGGTAGCTATTGCAGGAAAATAGTCCATAAATGGAATACCTCTATGAAACTGGTAGGTCATGTACTGCTGACCACGCAGCAGTGTGTGCCTGTTCATTGCCCTGAACGTCAACATGACCAGGGACCAAACAAAAAACAATATCTTTATGCTTGGAAAACATGCAGCATAGCCAAAGTTGGATATGGAGGACTAAGGGGTGAGGTGTATCTAATTTCTGTATAGCCTGTAAAGCACTATGGGAGTCTGAGAACCACAAATGATGACAGAGGCATAGATGTAATACGGGTAAGTGCTGCAAGAATGGCATACAATTCAGCAGTAAAAATACTAGCCGAAGATAGTATATGCCTTCTTACGACTGTCTGGAAACACTGCTGCGAATCCTATGCCATCAGAAGACTTAGACCCATCTGTGTACACTGCAATGGCATGAGAATGAGAGTGAGTGGAAGTGGTCAAGAAAAAGAGCGGGAAGCAACCGTAGACAGTTGGGCTTTCGAGCAAGGAAGAGAGAAAGAACAGACTCGAACAGCTGGAACTTCCCAGGGGGGTGGGGAAAAGCGAGATGCTACATGAACATAGAAAGGTGGTAATTGAAGAGAAGACCAGAGTGAATGAAGACGAAGAGAGAAGGGACGGAGCAAACAGGGGCGGTGAACAAATAAAGAATGTCTACTAATATCAGTGACCATTCTATAAATGGAAGGATTGCGGAGATCATGAGAGCGTACGTAGTAGCGAAGGCAATGGGCATCACGGCGATCGGATAAGGATGGAACGTTCGCTTCTGCATAGAGGCTCAACAGGGGAAGAGCGAAAAGCACCAAGGCATAAACGTAATCCTTGGTGATGAATGGGGTTAAGGCTAGAGAGTAGCAGGAGAGGCCGCTGAATAGATCTGGCCATCATAATCAAGTTTCGATAAAATGAGGGTGGAATGTAGGCAAAGGAGAGTTCGACGATCAGCTCCCCATGAAAGACGAGCAAGGGTTTTAAGAAGGTTCAGTCAGCTGTGACAAGTTGCCTTCGGAGAGGTAATGTAAGGTTTCCAGGATAACCTACGGTCAAAGAGGAGGCCCAGAAACCTGACTATCACATTCAGGGATACGGGAGCCAGAGGTACAAAGGAGGATCGGAGGATCAGAGCGTCTAGTGAAAGTAATTTGGTGGGTTTTAGTGCTGGAAAATTTAAACCCATGTGTGGTGGTCTAATTGGAAACACGGTAGACCGCATGCTGGAGAGAAACTGTAATGAGGTGACAGTCAGCGCCTGTGCAGGCAATAGCGAATAATCAACAAAGAGTGATGACCAAATATTTGATGGAAGACTAGAGGCCAAATCATTTATAGCAAGGAGAAAGTGTTGTGCTCAGAACACATCCCTGGGGGACACCTTCAGCTTGGATAAAGTCTGGGGAGAGCACATTATTAACCCGAACACGGAAATGCCTGTCAGTTAAAAGGTTCTTAAGGAAGGATGGTAGATTGCCTCGGAGGCCTAAGGAGTGAGCTTGGGCCAAAATATTATTCCTCCAAGTTGCGTCATATGCCTTCTCAAGATCAAAAAATATGGCAATAACTGAGTGGTTATTCGCAAAGGCATTACGAACATACGTATCCAAGCATAGTAAGGGGTCTATGATAGAACGTCAGTTACGAAAGCCATATTGACGAGTGGAGAGACTGTTATGCGTCTCTAAATACCACACTAAACTTCTATTTACCAAGCATTCCATCACTTTGCAAACTGCACTGGTAAGAGCAATGGGACAATAGTGGGAGGCTTCATGTCCCATAGTGCCCGGTTTGCGGAAAGGGAGAACAATGGCAGATTTCCACAGCTGTGGAAGAACTTCTTGTGACCAAATAGGATTGGCAATGCGCAATAGGACTGCAATGGCTGACTGATGTAAATGTTGTAGCATACGAATATGAATGTCGTCGGGCCCAGCTGCCGATGATCGGCAAGCTGAGTGTGTTGCCTCCAGCTCTTAAAGAGTAAAAGGCACATTATACTGTTCTTCTCTGAGAGAAGAAAAGTCCAAGGGTGCTAACTCTCTGGCAGACTTTGAGGAAAGAAACGAGGGGCATAGATGGAGCCCTTGAGAAATACGGACCAGATGATTGCCAATTTCATTGACAACATCTAGTGGGTTTGCTATATCAACACCGGCACCCCGCAGAACAGGAGCCGGGTCAGGAGAATATTTACCACTCAGTTTTTGTACTTATTTCCAGAATGCACTCGGAGGAAGCTGAGGTGATGGTGGAGACAATCTCGCCAGCAAGTGCATTTAGAGTCACGGATGACACGGCGAGCGATTGCATGCCTCTGCTTAAAATCAAGAAGTCTCTCCGTGGTTCTATTGAACCGGTACCTGCCCAATGCAGCGCGTTTAAAACGTACTGCACGAGCACAAGCTGGAGATCACCAAGGCACGCATTTCTGAGAATGCCTGCCCGAAGTTTGGGGTATAGAATGAGAAGCTGCGGTTAAAACGGAGGACGAGAAGAGGTGTAAAAGCTCATCAATGGAGGACAAAGAAGGAACCTCACTAAAAACAGTTAGTTGTGAGAAGAGGTTCCAATTTGCCAGATCAAATTGCCAGTGTGGGATATGAGGGGGAAGTAAGAATGATTGGGAAATGATAGCTGTCATGTAAATCCGGGAGAACAGACCAGGTGAAGTCTAATGCAGCAGAGGAAGAGCAGACTGGGAGATCGATGCAAGAGAGAGTGAGTCCGAGGATCAAAATGGGTGCGAGTACCTGTATTTAAAACATGGAGGGGGTGGGTGGCAAGAAAAGCCTCTAACTGAATGCCACGGGAATCACAGTGAAACCCCCAGAGGAAATGATGGGAATTAAAATCGCCAAGTAACAGAAGCGGTGGTGGTAATGAGGAAACAAGAAAGGCAATATCCGGAATAGATAATGCCCGAGAAGGAGAGATATAAAGAACAGAGTGTATACCACCTATACAAGTGGATACGGGCTGTTGTGTATTGCAGCGAAGTACGAACAAATAGCTGATGGTACAGAATATCAGTGCGTAGAAGGGCACTTTCATTAAAAGTCCCATCAGGAAAAGTATCTGAAGAATACAATAAATTATAGCCTGAGATGGGAGAGATAACAGCAGAGTGTAATTTAGGTTCCTGTAAGCAAACATCAACAGGGGAAAACTGGGAGAGTAAGATCTGAAGCTCACCCCGATTACCCGAGGCCGCGTATATTCCACTGTAAATAGGCCATGATTGGCAATGATAAAGATACCTGAAATCCACAGATAAGGGTTCCTACGGACTAGAGGGGTTAGAACAGTCTACATGCGGAGGCAGTGGAAAACTTTCAAGCAGCGAAGGAATGGTGCGCT